ACTTTGTTACTCAAAAGACAGTCTTATTAGGGGAAACTATACAGAATATAATAAGATGAGTATATCTTTTTTGAGAAATGACCCCTGAGTTGAATATGATTCTATTTCATGTTCAATCTGTAATAAAGTCAAATATGTTCAAATATTGGAAATTCTCTTATGTCTTAATGCCAGGTTGTTAGATACCAGGATAGGGGTATAACAAGATTAATTGATTACAATTGCAGAGTAGTTGAATTTATAATGCTCTTCTGCACCCACTAGCTCCATTTATTTAGACATCCATTTGTTTATTTTTATTTATTTATTTTATTTTTTATTTTTGGAGAGGTTTTTGCTATAGGGTGCATGCACTTGCCAGAAAGACAGAGAGAGACAGGGAGACAGAAAGTGAGAAATCACTCCCAGGGGGGATGGCCACGCTGCAATCCCTTCCCCTCCATTCTCCTCTCGGGATCTTGGGCACGCACGCACATGTGCCCAGAGTGAGTTTAAGCCACCAGGTGCAGGACTTGAATTGTGGTCGACTACATGGGAGTCCAGTGACATAGCCATTATGCCAACTGCTGGTCCCTAGACATCCATTTTGTAAGACAAGGTAAGTTAGGTATTGACATTGTCATTATAGGGGTAAAGGTAAAAGAGATTAGTTGGGTAACCTGATTAAGGTTCTGTAGCTACTAGGAGAAGACTAGGCCTGAGAGCCATGTTTCCTGATTCTAAGTCCAGTGTTTTTCACAGGACCATAGGTTGCCTCTCTGTTATTTTTTGTCTCTCTAAAGTTAAAATTATGCTTTTTCAGAATGCACATAAATAGCCCTTACAGTATACTTAGGAAACAAACAAGCACACAATCTACATAGTGGAACTATAAAATATAAATGCTTCATAACTTTTAATAAACCAATTCCTATTTTATCCTTAAAGAGATTATAATACATAGATGAGAAAGCAAAATAATTGAAATCTAAATTTGCAATACAATTACTGTTCTAAGAAAACATTCTCATGGCCTTTGATTTTCTGCCCACATCGATGTACACTAAGCACTTCAGCCAGAGTAGAGATAATGAAAACACATGTAAACATAAAAAGATGATAGCTGTATTGTCTAGTTACTTTGATTTTAAGACCAGTAACTATGGTAAATCATTAACACCCAACTGTATTCTGTTTTCTTTTTTTTTTCTGCTGGTTTGTAGTTTGTTCTGTCCTTTGCCCTAGTCTTTTTGGAAATGCTGCTTCAGTTTCTTACTTGTAGCTCACACTAATGACTTGCATTTTGAAGCTTGTTTTCTGTAATTTGAACAGATCAGCAATTTGAAGCACATTTCATATTCATATATAAAGTTCCTCATATATGCCAGAATAAGTAACTTTTCTGAGAATTAATAAATGGCAGTAATTTTTTTCTATACTTACCTTGTTTATTGTGTACAGAGTTGGTCTTCTGTGAAAGCTTTATTAGAAAAAAAGGAGAGCATTTCCTCAGAACTAGAGCAACAGAGGCTTTTCATACTCTTATACCAAGTTAACTTCCGAAAGATTTTTAACTCTCTGTTTCCCAAAACACACTTGAATTTTAGGCCCCACACACACAAAAAATACATTTTTATAAGTCTAGTTCTTTATTGAGAGTTTAGAGAACTGATAAAATGCAAAGTGAAACTCTTTCTAGTTGTCACTACCCTACTTTTAATTGAATATTTAATGTCTTGAACTACTTAAAAAATAAGCCTAATTATTTCCAACACTATAAATGTTTTGTGGGATGAAAGTATCTGATTCATTAATAACATAATGTAGCTTAAAACAAAAGGAGAGAAATTTTTTACTTCATAGCTGTGGCTGTCCAATAGATCAATGCCAAAAGTTTTGTAGGATACAAATTTAAGGTGGTGTTATTTCCCCATAGTGTGACTGGGGACTAAGGAGGTCTTGTCTTCAACATTATATATAAGGATTTTCACACATAATGTTGGTTGTCCAGCAGCCATATAATCAAACTACTCTCATTATTTAATTTTCCTTTTCTCTGTGGCCCTATTGATGTTGCCTAACCTTACCAACTTTCCAGATGAAAATAAATGATAACCCAAAGAAGGTAAGTTTGTAAACTGCTAGTGAGGATTCCATAATGCTCATGTCAGCATTCCTTATAGATGTAGGATAGGGCATTGCTTGCAGTGGGCCTAAAGTCTTTTTGTTTTGTTTTTGTTTTCTTAAATAGTATATTGGCGTGTGGGGTGGGTGTTGTATATATATATATATGCATGTGTGTATGTATGAATGGAGGTATCAAGTCAACATCTGCTTCCTGGACTTCTACTCATTTTGGATCCATGATGAATATCAATCTTCTTTCCAAATTGGTAGATGCTTCCATTTATGCTCTAAAACTTATTCTTTACTCTGGCATTTAAGGTTTGTTATTATTTGGTCCCTGTCTATCTCTAATATTATTTCCTTACATGTTCCTTTATTTGACCTAATTTTCAAATAAAATACTAGCGTGTATTAAGGCCTCATGCTCTGAGGCCTTAACTAACAACTTTCCCTCATCTCTGAGTCCTCTCCTCCTTTTCCTGTCACTTACCCCAGTCTTCTAATAATCAAAAGTTATGATAACAACAAAATATGATCTTTGAGCTCAGAGAGAACTGAAATGATTATATCTAGCCCATAGTAAGTACCCAGTAACTGGCAGCTGTTATTAAATGAGGGCTCACATTTATTGAGTGCTTATTGTATGAGACTACTGTCCTTTGCTCTTTAAATATTTCTAGCGCAATTAAGTATAAACTATTATTGCTATTTTACTGAGGAAGGGAATAGAGGTCTAGAGTGGGTAAGTTACCCAAGATCACAGGACCAGGAACGCATACCCTTCCCAGACAGGAAGCCTGGTATGTGAGTCTGGGTTGACACACCATTCTACTTTCTTTGTAAAGTATTTCTGCAGCTCACAGGCTCCTTCCCTCCCCTAAGTTCCCTTGCACCACAGCATCTAAATGCAGGCCTCAACTCTCCTACTGGCCTGGGGGGACACTAATTCCCTGACCCATCTAATGCAGAGGTTGAGCCAGATCAAGTCAGTCACCTATGACATGGCTTTGAGGCCTGTGGTTTTGGGGGGATTTCCTTCTTGGAACATTCTGGATTGCAATCCGCATCTTTCAGACTGATGTCTAGAATTCAAGAAATGATCATGGGGGCTGGGATGAGGGCGGGACGAGGCCGAGACCCGCAGACTTTGAGACGGCACAACCCCAAACCTTTTTTTTTTTTTTTTTTTTTAATGCCAGAAGGCACTAAAGCTTGCCAGAGAAAGGGAGAGAGGAGGTCATTTCCAAAGGGGCCTGGTTCCGCAGCACTCCTTACTCCTCCATTTATCCATCCTGCCTGAATTGTGGGCATGCACACACATGAGCCCTGAAAGTTTTTCGAGCCCTGGGGCCAAGATTCGAACACCACAATTATTCATCCATGCGGGATGGGGCTATCTTAACCATCGGGTTGCAGGGCTGACCCAAGGAGAAGCTGGCACACTTTTCTGACAACGCTAACGCACAGGCCAGCTTAGCAGGCATGTCATGGTGACAAGGGCAGGCTCTTCAACACTTTGGGCAAAACCTGGGGTGGGGCCACACTCCCTTGTACTCCACTGCATGCAAATGCGAAGGGAGGCCCCTAGACGCTACCATTCCTAGCTGAGAGAGGCAGGGGCCCCTCCCGCTGCTCAACAAGACAGCGCCTTCGCCCCGCTGGCCCATGTGAGAGGCGCTTGTCCCTGCGCCTGCGCGGTCGGAGGCCCGGGCCGAGGCGCGCCTGCGCCATTTTGAGCGCGCGGATTTTGAGTTGCGCCTGCGCACGGCCCGACTTCCCGCGCTTTTTTGGAGGTGGGAAGCTTGGCGCAGCTGACAGGACTGCCTGAACAGCCATTAGCCGAAGCGAGGGCCGCTGAGAGTTAAAATTGTGCGTTGTGGTGGCAGGAGGGGCAACGAGGGAAAGATTGAATGTTGACCTTAGTTATCAAGTATCCCCAGGCTGTGGGTGTGTCAGGACGGGGCTTTGGAAGAGAACAACTCTGAGCGGCGCTTCCAGTGAGGGGTCAAGATAGGCTGTCATGGCCTCCATCTGAGGCAACGGTCTTTGGGGGCAGGGTGTGGACATGTGTGTTGGTATGCGTGCGTGTGTGTGTTGGTATGTGTGCTTGTGTGTGTTGGCAAGTCGAGCAAACTTTTAGTGCCACTAACCACATTACTAAAGTTACCAACGGCCACTCAGGTCCAATTGGGAGCCTGGGGTGGGGAGCGGCTGTGAACTCAGGGTTTCTGCCCCCAGGGTCAGTGGTCCAGGGGGAAGATGTTGCACTTACAATTTTTTAATTTCGTTTGAATAATAATCAGAAGTGTAATAGCCCCTGTAAACCCTTCCAGATTTAGATTATGAGTTGACATTGGTTTCTGTGTTGAGAAAAAGTGGCATAACCCCTAGTCTGGTTTCTTGAGTGGCACCAAAAATATTTTCTAAAGGGCCTAGTATATCCAGCATCAAACCCAAGATAATGGAAACAAAACATAGGCAGCCCTTGATCTCATGTTTCCTAACTTTTATTTTTTACAAACAATATTTGGAACATATTATTTGTCTTAGTATGATTTGCACTGTTACTTAGTTGTGCTCATATCTATCTTTTTCATTGGGCGGTGAATTTGGAGCAGAAATTATCTTTAGGTTTATATCTTGCTTTTCCATGCAATGAACAAGTGTTCATTGAATAAAATTGGGATTAAAATATATTTGTAGGAGAAATGCTTTTACAACAGCAGAAATTATGTTTTAAAAGAAAAATAAAAACTTGTTGAAGTTGTAGAAACTGAGGGAAAACGTCATTATCATTATTCTGGGTATTAAATGGGACTTAGTCTTTGGTTTTATGACTAAAGCATATGGTGTGCACAAAGTGTTACAGTGGGACACAGAGCATGTCTCATATAGCTGGATCAATAGTGTATATTTTCTCTCTGACCTTGTAAGCATGTAAGTTTGTCAGTGCTGTAGTCCATTTCCCCCTGTAAAGATTTGATTCAGGATTATTTTCACTGTGGGTCATTGATTCTGGAATAAATTACATAGTTTGTGTGAACATCCACACATGTTTAGGAAGCAAGTTTGTAGTCACTGTAGTGATAACTTATTTTGAGCACACAGTTGGAAAATGAATTATGTTGTAAACTCTTACTCAGAAAGCAAAGGACTTTCTAAAGTGTTCATATGATCAGGTTTGAAAATAGTTTAAAACCATAGTTTCAATAATTACTAGGCTGAGAATTTGATTCTGTTGTTGATACATAATGAGTTACAAGTCTCTTTCTTTGAAGGTTTAATCAAAAACTTCATATTGTAAATTTGAACTGCTAAAGAAAAAACTATAGACTTTGATATTGAAGGAAATGAAGAGAACCATCACTGAAAATTCAACTCGAAGTACAGCAGGTACTGAACAGCTTTTTAAATTTTTCTATATTTTGTGTAGTTCATAGATAGAACATTTAAAAAGGAACTTTCTCAAAGAGTGAACATTTAACCTAGCCTCTTTACTTTTCTTTAGGTCTAAGGAAGTAAAATAATTGACTCAAGACAAAATATTTAGTGGTAGAAATGGGAGTAAAATAATTTTTTTCTAGATTTACTCTAAGGTTCTTTCTATAAATCCTGTAAGTTTGAGTTCTCTTTTTTGAAATAAAATGTTATTTTATTTTCTAATTTATATATATTTTTAAAATCATTATTCAACTAATAAATCACTATGCATCATTTAGATTGAGAAGAGACTTTACCTAGCATGATATACACCTCAGTCCAGCTCAGTTCTTCTATACTTTTAAACTGTAAACAAAGAAATAGATTTATTTTTCTTTGTATTTGTGACTTACTTGTTCAAAATATTTCCAGAATCACTCTGTCTCCTTAATTGGTACTCTTATCATCTCTGCTTTCCTAATTTATTAGTATAGGACAGAACAGAAGGATGAGAACCAGGAGAATGATAATGCACAATGAAGATTTACAGTGTCTGTATTCTTCTTTAGTGCAAGTTATGATGGACCAGCTATAGAATGGTATAGTGACAGGAGCTCTGATTGAGATTTAGGAAGTATGGGTCCTGTTTCGGTTCTTCACTGACTTTTTCTGTAGCAATGGAAAAGCTTTTTGGACCTCTTTTTCCTCTTAATTCCCTAAGTTTTAAAGTATGTACATTGTGACTTTTGACCTGACTTGAGATGTCAGCTCTACCATCTACAGGAATTGGAGATCGAATTTATTCTTATTTGAATTGGATATTGTCATTCTCTAAGTCTCAAAATGATCCACAGAAAATATTATTGGCAGACATCTAAGTTGCTTATTAAAAATTGTAGAGTTTGGGACCAGCAATTAGTGAAATGGCTATGTCGCTGGAATCCCATGTAGTCGACTGTGGTTCGAGTCCTGGATCCGGCGACTTAAACTCATGCTGGGCGCATGTGCGTGTATGCCCAAGATCCCAAGAGGAGAATGGAGGAGAAGGGATTGTGGCGTGGCCATCCTCCCTGGGGGGTGATTTCTCGCTTTCTGTCTCTCTGTCTCTGTCTTTCTGGAGAGCGCATGTGTCCTACAGCAAAAACTTCTCCAAAAAAAAAAAATTGTGGAGTTTTGGGTTCCAGACCAAATCTGTAGAAATAAAATCTGTTAGAATGGGATCTAAGTACCCATATGTTAAGCAATATTTTATATAAATCTTAGTCAAACTAAATGTTGAGAATTATCACCCTAAATGATGTCCTGACGTAGTTAAAAGAGTGGTTAGGATTTTGGAAAGTGTGGTTCAAAGTTTGATTATTTTTCGCTTCCATTATACTCCAGGAGTTCTCCCCTCACACTCCAGTTGATATGGTACTAGGCAGTAACAGGAGGAAATATAGAAAACAAAAAGTGGATTTTGAAAGGGTTGAGTGATGAGAAGGAGGATGGGGATTATTTTTAAACAAGAAGAATTGAAGTAATGTTAAGTAGAACATAAAAGTCTTTTAGACAAATGAAGCAATTGAGGATCTTAAGGTTATAAAAGTCAGCCCAAGGATGTATTAAATATAACTAACATGTAAAGGTGGATAAATTCAAATCCAAAATGCCTGGAACTAAAAGTGCTTCAGATTTAGCCATTGGAGCTGGGAACTAGTGCTTTCAGGGACTAAACTAATGGAAGATTTTCTACTGAGACTTCACCCTCCAGACCCAATTCATGAGTGGTAGGGCCTCCCTTGTATTCTTCTCTCTTTTTATTTTTTAAATTAATTTAAAAAAATTCTTTAAAATATTTTCTTGGCTCCCAGATTCTCCTTTCTCTTGCTAATTCTCACCTTTCCCTCCCTCCCATCTAGGAGAGGCAAAAGTGCAGTCTTCACAGAAGACTCCGCCATTGGAGCTGGGAATTGGTGCTTTTGTGTGGTGTGCTTGTGCACTGTGCAGTTTTTATTTTTTTGATTAAAAATTGTTTTTTGTATTTTTTCTCTTTCTCTGTTTTCTTTCCCTTTTTCTTTTACCTTCACCACTTTGCTGCTCAGCATCCATGCATTGAGTGTGTAGACAGGTCTAAGTGAACCATAGCTCAATACTATTAGGGTCAGAGTATTCCTCAATTCACACTGAATCTGCTACACAAAGGGAGAAAAATGGAATGGCAGTGAGATTGCAGATCATCTCCTGCATCCCTCTGAACACTCAGGTTGAACTTCAAGAATTAGGAAGAAACATATAACGCATCAGATAACCAGAAATCACCACAGAGGTATAAGAAATATGAAAAACCAAGAAAATACCTCTCCAAGGAAAAAGAATAACTTCTCTTCATCTTCAGACCATAAAATGGAATTTGTAGAAATGTCTGATAAAACATTTAGAATATTCACAGTGACAAAGCTAACAGAGATTCAAGAGAAAAGAGACAATAAACTCCAGAAGATGCAGGGGAAAAGGGCTGACGAGTTCCAGGAGGTGAGGAAGTCCTTGCATGATCTGAAAGAGGAAATAAACATAAAAAAAAAGTCAAACAGAACTGATAGCGATGAAGGCTGTAAAACCGGAAATCAAAACCTCCCTTGAAAGTATTAAAAGCAGGTTAGATCATACAGAAGATCAAATCTCAGGTGTAGAAGACAGAATTGCTGGACTAATAAAATTCACCATGAAGACTGAAAAAATAGCCAAAAAAGAGAGAAAAATATATAAGACCTACTAGATACCATTAGATGTCCAAACATCTGGATAATCAGTATCCCAGATGGTAAAGAGACCAATAAGGGCATTGAATACCTACTCCACTAAATCCTGGAAGAAAACTTTTCAAATCTAGAGAGGCTTTCAAAGATCCAGACCCAATAAATACAAAGGACACAAATAGAATCAACCCAAGAGGATCTTCTCCAAGACACATTATAGCCACATTGACCAAAACCATAGACAAAGATAAGATACTGAGATTGGGCCAGAGAGAAATGCCAAGTTACCTGCAAAGGATATCCCATCAGGCTTACAGCGGAACTCTCATTGGAAACAATGCAAGCAAGGAAAGAATGGGGAAATCTATTCAAATTGTTGAATGAGAACAATTTCAAGCAAGAATACTATACCCAGCAATATTATTCTTCATATAGGAAGAAAAGACACGAACATTCTCAGATAAACAAAACCCGAAATAATTTACCAACACAAGACCAGCTCTCCAAGAAGTTATGAAGGGAGTGCTATATTAGAACTAAATATAGACAAACAAAAATAAGAGTTCAAAAACAGCTAAGAAAATGGCCAACTTAATGGTATGGACAAATCCAGAGTGGAACAGTTATCTTCCAGAACTTAAACGGAAAGATCAGAACACAACAGAAGATAAACTACGTTAGACTGAACTGGTAAATTGGATTTTATGACTTTTGACTAAAACATTACTGATTTCCTTCTATGCTTTGCTTTCCAGATTTAAGGATTTTTGTCTTATCTTGAGCTACCAATAGGTTCATGTACCTACTATTTGAACAGAATCCTGTTTCCTGGCTTTAAGTCTTAAGCAAAGTACTTTTAATATTTTTTTGATTTTGATTTATTAAAGCTAAAACTGCTTTTCTTGAAATTAAAAAGATATTTAAAAATACCTATTTAATGACCATAGTAAGCTATATAGCCTCAGCTAGGTGCTACTTTATAGTATATTCATTCTACTCACAGAGTTTCATGCCAAAAGCCAGACATGTGTTTACCAATAGGTATATATTAGCTAACTTGCTATTGACAGTAGTTAGATTAAGATATTTTGTGATTCGATAAAATGTGGGGGGGAAAAAAGGAATGGAAAGCAACTGTAGATACCAGAGACAATATGGAAGGAGGGTGATTACTGTGGTCCTTAAACAGGTATTTTTTAATATACATTTTAATTTCAAGAAAAGTAATTTTAGCTTCTTGTTTTATATATATATAAGAAACAAGAAATGGAAACTTATTTGTTGATGATAACATGTATGATTAAGCCACTACACAGTGTATTCTGGATGGGAAATCGCATTTTGTATGCTGTGGATGATGTTCAGTGAATAAATGTAAAATACATAAAATTAAAATGAAATAAATGCTTCAGATTTCAGGGTTTTTCAGAGTTTTGAATATTTGCTGTGAGTAATGAGATATCTTGGGGATAGAACCTGAGTCTAAACACAAAATTCATTTATGTTTCATATACATCTTAAACACACAGTCTGAAAGTAATTTTATATTTTTGTATTGCAGTATTTTGACTATAGCCCATCACAGTCAAAATAAATGGACTCATCACAATCAAAACATATTTCATGTATGGAATTTTCCATTGTGCCATCATGTTGGTACTCAAAAAAATTCAGATTTCAAAGCATTTCAGATTTTGGATTTTTGGATTAGGGATGTTTAACTTGTACTAGTTACTATTCTGTAACTATTAGGTCATTGAGAAAGTCGTGCTGCATTTTTGCATAGAAAAACAGAAAACTATGTCATGGCTTTTCTGACAACTCAATAGATCTGGTTATTTACCTATTAAGTACTAATTTATTGTTACATTAAATTTAGGCTGTTTGCCTGTACCGTTGTTCAATCAGAAAAAGAGGACCAGACAACCATTAACTTCTAATCCACTTCAAAATGATCCAGGTATCAGCACTCTTTCTGAGAGTTATGATTTCCCCCCTCTGCCAACAGGTAAGAAAGTAAGGTGATAATTTCAGGAAATAAGAACTAGGATTATAGAAAAATTACCATTTCTATTTTCTTATAATGAAAACAGAAAGTTTATTTATTTTCTTCCTTATATTATTCAAATATAAAAATTATTTGGCTTTTTCTGAACATTTGAGTTCTGGAGTTTGAGTTTCATTGTTTATATGGGTGGCTTAGATTTGAAGCCTTTGTTCTAATGAAGTAGTAAACTATATTGTAAAACTTTTTTTTTTTCAAAACACATGCATATTGTGACTTACACATTTGGTGGTAAAGAATGGAAAAACTCAAACTGCATGGGAACACAGGAAAAATGGGGAGAAAAAGACTTTAGAAAGAACAGAAGCCCAGGAATTTCTGGTGGTTGGCCTTAGTCGTTTTTCTCTTCTTATGACATTTTTTTTGTTCTTCATCTGTTGGCTCTTTATTCTCTATTGTAGTCTGAATGTGTCTCCCCTAGACTCATATGTTGAAACTTAATCACCAGTGTGATAATGTTAAGAGTTGAGGACTTCAGGAGGTGATTAAATCATGAGGGTGGGGCCCTCATGAATGGGATTTGTGACTTTATAAAAAATGTTTAAGGGAGCTATTTGCTCCTTCTGCTTGTGAGGACACCGTAAGAGTTACTATCTGTAAAGCAGAGAGTGAGCTTCTACCAGGCATCACGTCTGTTGGCACCTTGATCTTGGACTTCCCAGCCTCCAGAACTGTGAGAAATAATTTTCTATAATTTATAAATTACCAAGTCTAAGGTATTTCTTTTTATAGTAGTCCCAAAGTACTAAGATACTCTCTCATTCAGCTGGCTTCCTTTTAACTTCAGCTAGCACATGAACTAAGTTGCCTGGCTGAGAGTTTACATGACCTTTCAGTTTTTGTCCTCAGAGGTCATCTCTGTATCCCTTGACTCAAATCATAGAGACAGGCTTTGGTTCAGTTCATCTTTTAAATGAGGCCACTAATATCTTGCTTAGCTTTATGACGACACTCTCTGCTCTGATTTAGTTTGCTGTGGTGGGTGGTAGAAAGTATTAAAATTTGCTGACTTTTTACTTCCCTTAGAAGAAGGCATGGTCAGGCAGATATTCTGAAATATACTCGGTACATGCTGGTTATATACATTTACATTTTGGAGGCAAAGTTAAAAATCATTAATAGAATCTTATGTAACCAGAATTTAAAAAATATCTTTATATATAACAATTCTTGTATTGTTAATTTCATCCATTGTGCTCTCATAGAACTTAATATGCTTTTATAATGATTTTGTTTTGTTCTACCTTTGAGGAATTTAAGTTGAGTTCTGAAGTTCATTTATTCTAATTTTCTTTTTTTGGAGAGGTTTTTGCTACAGGGCATGTGCGATTGCCAGAAAGACAGAGACAGAGAGACAGAAAGCGAGAAATTACCCCCCAGGGGGGATGGCCACACTGCAATTCCTCCTCCTCTTTTCTCCTCGGGATCTTGGGCACGTATGCACATGCGCCCAGTGTGAGTTTAAACCACTGGGTCCTGGAGTCTAACCACGGTCGACTACATGGGAGTCTAGAGATATAGCCATTACGCTAACTGCTGGTCCCACTATTATTCTGATTTTTATTGGTTAAATTAGAAATTCACATGAATATGTACAAGTCAGCATTTATCTGGCCATACACCATTAAAAATATTTTGGGACCAGCAGTTAGTGTAATGGCTATGTCGCTGGACTCCCACGTAGTTGACTGCGGTTTGAGTCCTGGACCCGGTGGCTTAAAAACTCACGCCGGGCACATGTGTGTGCGTGCCCAAGATCCCGAGAAGAAAATGGAGGAGAAGGGATTGCAGTGTGGCCATCCCCCCTGGGGGGTGATTTTTCACTTTCTGTCTCTCTGTCTCTTTTTAGTGAGCGCATGCGACCCATAGCAAAAAACTCTCAAAAAAAAAAAAAAGAAAAAGAAAAAAAATTTTTTTATAAGTAGCATGAATGTTGACCTTAAAAATAACAACTTTAGCTGCTTTAAAAGAAAATGTGCATCTTTGTAAAGTACTGAATTCTCTAATCTCTAACCAGAGTTATTATTTTTCAGAGATACAATAAGATTCTTGTATTGGATAAGACATAGGACTTCATCAGTGTTCTTCAAATTTTTGTTTTGACCCATTAGTTGGGCTGGAACACAAATAATTTTCCAAAAAAGAAACAGAAAAGAATAAATTAGAGTAGAGTAGAATAGAAAATATTGTGCATTACAAATAGGATAAGATTTGTTGGTGAAATATCACTATGTTTTCTCCTGCCTATGTCTGTCTGTTATGCTCTCTCACACATACCATGCATATATATGTTCTGAATTATGTTGTATTTCTTGCTGTGGGGTGGAATCAAAAAGTTTAAGAAATACTGGATTTTTACTGAATTCATGTTACAAAGTAAAAGATACTGTACCAGGGGCCAGTAGATGGCATAGTGGTTAGATCGCTGGATTCCCATATGGCTGATTGGTTCACTTCCCGGACACAGTGGCTTGAAAATCACGTTGAGTGCATGTGTGTGTAGGTCCAAGATCCCAGGAGGAGAATGAAGGGAGAAGGGATTGTAACATGGCCATCCCCCCCCCTCGCCCCCACCATAGTGATTTCTCTCTTTCCTTCTTACTGGTGAGCACATGTGCCCTAGGGCAAAGATGTCTAAAACAAAAAAAGATACTGTCCTAGGACTGATTGTGGAAGATAACAAATTAAACTATTTTCTTTGCTTAAGATGCAATGGAAAAGAGACATAAAATTTTATATTCAAATTTCTACCAATATTTATTACCATGAACTTATGATTTTACTTATGAATCATTAATTAACTAATAGATAATAGGTAAAGAGTCAAGAATCATTATATAAATTTTTTCTCCTTTGTGAAAGAGAGAGGAAGAGAGAGACAGAAATAGGTATTTTTGGCAGTGACTAGATATGTTTCTATCTTCCTATGTAAAGAAGGTGTTTATAAGGCATGCAGTGAGAAAACCTACAGCAGAGTGCTATTGGGGTCCATATCTTCACTGTTTTTTTTTTTTTGTTTGTTTGTTTTTTTGAGAGGTTTTTGCTATAGGGTGTATGTGCTTGCCAGAAAGACAGAGAGACACAGAAAGAGAGAAATCACCCCCCCACCCCCAGGGAGAATGGCCATGCCGCAATCCTTTCTCCTCTATTCTCCTCTTGGGATCCTGTGCACACTTGCACGTGTGCCCAGCATGAGTTTAAGCCACCGTTTCTGGGACTCAAACTGCCATCGACTACAGGGGAGTCCAGTGACATAGCCATTACACTAACTGCTGGTCCCGATATCTTCAAGTTTTAAACCCCTTAATTTGAAGTAGTTATTTTTAAGAAATACTACATAGCTTACTTTTATGTATGTTATTTATGTCTTTTGAGATTGGGCCTGGGAAGCTATGAATCCAGAGTTGGCTCCTTTAAAGAAAACAATGAACACAGGGTATGTGGACAAATATAAGCCAATAAATGTGTGTTACTAACAGATGTTCCTGTATGTATATTTTACATTTCTCTGTTTTTTAAAAGAATTATTTTATTTAACTTTATTTATTTTTATTTATTTATTTATTTTAATTTGACCAGAGAGGGACAGAGTGAAAGAGAGAGACAAAGAGAGAGAGTGAGAGAGAGGGAAGGTGAGAAAGCAAGCTGCCAGGTCTGGGATTCGAACTGCAGTTGGCCATGTGGGAGTCCAGTGCCCCTAACCACCATACCACCTATCGGCCCCTGTATATTTTACATCTCTTAATATAAAAACAAGCTATTAATATTTAACATGATATATTTCCTTGAAAGGCAAATACCACATTCAATTTCTCATCCCCTGAGAAGTCAAGATTCTGTGTCTAAATCTATAATATCAAATACTGAAAGAAGCCAGGGCGATTGGAGGTGAGTTTACTTAAAACTTCTCTTTCTTTAATTTTTTTCTTCTTTTCTTCATTCTTTCTTCTTCCTTTATTTCTTTCTCCTTTCTTAGAATTACATTTAGAAAATATCTGTAAGTAATAATTAGCTGTAGAAATGTTAGCATATATATGCTATTGATACCACCATTTATTCTGATCTGGGACTCGAACCACAGGGTTGGCCATGGGAAATCTGACTGCCTTAACTACTGGGCGGTAGAGCTGGCCCAGAATTTTTCTGTTTTCTTTCTTTCTTTTTTGCTATAGGGCATGTGCATTTGCCAGAAAGACAGAGATAGAGAGACAGAAAGTGAGAAATCACCCCCCAGGGGGGATGACCACGCTGCAATCCCTTCTCCTCCATTCTCCTTTCAGGATCTTGGGCATGTACGCACACGTGCCTGGCATGAGTTTAAGCCACCAGTTCTGGGACTCAAACCACAGTCAACGATGTGGGAGTCCAGCAATGTAATCATTACGCCATCTACTGGTCCTAAATTTTCCTGTTTTCTAACTGTTACTGATTTTCAGTTTCATATCATTGCAGTTGGAAAAGCTATTTGTTATGCTTTTAAATTATTAAACTTGTTAAGTTTGATTTTGTGACCTAATGTGTGATCTACCCTGGGGAATATTCCATGTGTTCTCGAGAAGAATGTATAATCTTCTGCTGTCGGGTAGCCAGTTCTGTATTTATCTGTTGGTTCCTTTGATCTATATTGTTGTCCAAGTCTACCATTCATTGATTTTCTCTCTGGATGGTCTACCCATGATTAAAAGTGGGATATTGAAATACTCTTCTAGTTTTGTATTGCTGTCAGTTTATCCTTTTAGATCCTTCAGTATCTTCTTTATATACTTGAGGGTTTTGAAGTTGGATACACATATATTCACAATTACATCTTCCTATTGAATTGACCCTTTTATCTTTTTTTTTTTTTCAAGAGAGGTTTTTTGTTATAGGGCGTGTGTGCTCACCAGAAAGACAGAGAGAGACAGAGAGACAGAAAGCGAGAAATCACCCCCCAGGGGGGATGACCACGCTGCAATCCCTTCTCCTCCATTCTCCTCTTGGGATCTTGGGTACGCACGCACATGCGCCCAGCGTGAGTTTAAGCCACCAGGTCCGGGATTTGAACCACAGTCGGCTACATGGAAGTCCAGCAATATAGCTATTATGCTAACTGCTCGTCCCAGACCCTTTTATCTTTATGTAATGGCATTCTTTGATTCTAGAGGTACTTTTTCATTTGAGGTCTATTTTGTCTGATATAGTCACATTTGCTTTCTTTTGATTGCCATTTATTATACATGGAATATCTTTTTCCACCTTTTCACTCTCTGTGTATGTGTGTCTTTGAATGTAAAGTAAATGGAATGAAATGTAAATAAAAATTTTCTTTTTTTTTTTTTTGAGAGATTTTCACTGTAGGGCGTGTGCGCTCGCCAGACAGACAGAGAGAGACAGAGAGATAGAAAGCGAGAAATCACCCCCCGGGGCGATGGCCACGCCGCAATCCCTTCTCCTCCATTCTCCTCTCGGGATCTTGGGCACGCATGCACACGTGCCCGGTGTGAGTTTTAAGCCACCGGGTCTGGGACACGAACCACGGTCGACCACGTGGGAGTCCAGCGACATAGCCATTACGCTAACTGCTGGTTCCCCAAATTTTCTTTTTTTAAAAAGAACTACTTTATTGGGACCAGCAGTTAGCATAATGGCTATGTCGCTGGGCTCCCACGTA